AGAAAGAGAAAGAAAAATACCATATGAGATCGCTTATATGTGAAATCTAAAAAACAAAAACAAACAAACAAACAAAAACAAAGCATAAATACAGGACAGAAATAGACTCGCAGACAGAGAATACAGACTTGTGGTTACCAGAGGGGTGGAGGGTGGGAAGGGATAGACTGGGATTTCAAAATTGTAGAATAGATAAACAAGATTACACTGTATAGCACAGGGAAATATACACAAAATGTTATGATAACTCACAGAGAAAAAAATGTGACAATGAGTGTGTATATGTCCATGAATGACCGAAAAATTGTGCTGAACACTGTAATTTGACACAACATTGTAAAATGATTATAAATCAATAAAAAATGTTAAAAAGAAAAAAAAGAAATATAAGTTGCTTTTAAACAAGGTTAAGATAAAAACCATTAGTGTACATGTCGCTAATCTGACTACATAAAGATGCAGAAAGGCCTGGGACCTGGTATCTTCTCAAAGACATAGTATGCAACGAAGAGAAATGGGCTAATACCAATGAACTTTAGTTGATTCATCATCATAGGTACTGATCTTTCTATGGAAGCTGTTACAGAATAGATAAATGAAATAGAGAATAGAAAACAATTGAGAAAATCAACAAAACCAAAAGTTGGTTCTTTGAAAAGATCAAAATGACAAACTTTTAGCTAGACTGACCAATGGGAAAAAAAGGCAGGGGGGGGGGATGCAGACTCAAATTACTAAAGCCTCAAAAGAAAGTGAGACATTGCTACATATTTTACAGAAATAAGAGGATTATAAAAGAAGATTATGAACAATTCTATGCCACCAAATTGGACAACCTAGATAAATTGGATTAATTCCTAGAAACACACAATCCACAAAAACTGAATCATGAAGAAACAGAAAATATGAACAGACTTAAATCTAGTAAGAAAACTGAATCAAAAACCTTCCAACAGAGGGGGAGGGTATAACTCAGTGGCAGAGTGCGTGTGTAGCATGCACAAAGTCTTGGGTTCAATACCCAGTACCTCTGGTAAAAATAAATAAATATTCTTTACACTAATAATAATTAGCAGGAAAAGAAAGTAAAGAAACAATCTCTTTTAAAATTGCATCCAAGACAATAAAATACTTAGGAATAAGTCTCACCAAGGAAGTGAAAGACGTATTATGTGGAGAACTACAAAACACTGATTAAGGAAATGAAAGATGACTTAAAGAAATGGAAAGATATCCCATGCTCTTGGATTGGAAGACTCAATATCGTTAAAATGGCCATACTGCCCAAGACAATGTACAGATTTAATGAGATTCCTGTGAAATTACCCAGGACATTTCTCACAGATTAGAACAAACGATCCTAAAATTTATACGGAATCACAAAAGATCCAGAATATTGCCAAAGCAATATTGAAGAAAAAGAATGAAGCTGGAGAAATAACCCTCCCAGACTTCAGACAAACTTAGAGAGCTACAGTAACCAAAACGGCATGGTATTGTTATAAAATCAGATATATTGATCAATGGAACAGAATAGAGAACCCAGAAATAAATCCACAGACCTATGGCCAATTAATCTTCAACAAAGGAGGCAATGGAGAAAAGACAGTCTCTTCAACAACTGGTATTGGGAAAACTGGATAGCAGCATGTAAATCAATGGAGCTAGAACACTCCCTCACTCCCTACACAAAAATAAACTCAAAATGGCTTAAAAATTTAAAGACAAGACACAATAAATCTAGAAGAAAAGATAGATAAAACATTATCTGACATATATCTCAAAAATGTTCTCCTAGGGCAGTCTACCCAGGCAATAGAAATAAGAGCAAAAATAAATAAATGGAACCTAATTAAACTTAGAAGCTTTTGCACAGCAAAGGAAACCATAAGCAAAACAAAACAACAACCTACGGAATGGAAAAAGTATTTGCAAATGATGTGACTGACAAAGGCTTAATTTCCTGAATATATAAACAGCTCGTATAACTTAATAACAAAAAAACAAACAACCCAATCCAAAAATATGCAGAGGATCTAAACAAGCAGTTCTCCAATGAAGACATACAAATGGCCAACAGGCACATGAAAAAATGCTCAATATCGCTAATTATTAGAGAAATGCAAATCAAAACTACAATGGGGTATCACCTCACACCAGTCAGAATGGCCGTCATTCAAAAATCCACAAATGATAAATGCTGGAGAGGGTGTGGAGAAAAGGGAACCCTCCTACACTGCTGGTGGGAATGTAGTTTAGTACAGCCATTATGGAAAACAGTATGGAGATTCCACAAAAGACTAAAAATAGACTCACCATATGATCAAGCAATCTCCCTCCTGGGCATATACCCAGAGGGAACCTTAATTCAAAAAGATACATACACCCCAAAGTTCACAACAGCACTATTTATAATAGCCAAGACATGGAAATAACCTAAATGTCCACTGACAGATGACTGGACAAAGAAGCTATGGTATATTTATACAATGAAATAAATAACTGTCATAAAAAAGAATAAAATAATGTCATTTGCAGCAAAATGGATGGACCTAGAGATCATTATTCTAAGTGAAGTAAGCCAGAAAGAGAAAGAAAAATACCATACGATATCACTCATATGTGAAATCTTAAAAAAAAAGGACACTATGAACTCATGTACAAAACAGAAACAGACTCACAGACTTAGTAAACAATCTTATGGTTACTGGGGAAAAGGGGTGGGAAGTGATAAATTTGGGAGTTTGAGATTTACAAATGTTAGCCACTAAATATAAAAACAGAATTTTAAAAAAAGTTTCTATGTATAGCACAGGAAACTATGTTCAATATCTTGTAATAACCTTTAATGGAAAAACATTTACAATGAATATATGTGTGCATGACTGGGACACCAAAGATTGACACGTTGTAATTGACTATACTTCAATTTTTTAAAAAATCTGCAAATAAACTATACAAAAATGGTCAAAAAAAGAAAAGAAACAAATATGGTTACCAGGGGGGAAGAGGGTAGGAAGGGATAAATTGAGAGTTCCAGATTTGCAGATACTAATATATATATAATAAACAATAAGTTTATGCTGTATAGCACAGGGAACTATATTCAATATCTTGTAGAAACCTATGGTGAAAAAGAATATGAAAACGAATATATGTATGTTCATATATGACTGAAACATTATGCTGTACACCACAAATTGACACAACATTGTAAACGGATTATACTTCAATAAAAAAAATACATACAAAAAAAAAAAAGAATATATTTTTAAAGTACTAAAACTGGCCAATGAAAATTAAATCATTTGAAAGTACAGGTACCAGAAGGTATGGTGCATTGTTGAACAACAGGCTGTTTTTGTTTCCAGTGTAACTTTTTCAATGACAATTACATTATTTAAATAACTTTACATTGGTTCTCCTCTATATACACCAAGAGAAAAACATACCCAGCTACTTCCTAGCATGTAAATAATTATTCTTACCATGTCTTTGAAGCCTAGCAAAAGTAAAATTTTTCATTTACTCAACTGGGCATTTCCTGGTTCACTTTTTGTGACTGTGATTGGAAAACATAAAAGGTTTTCTTAACGTGTTGAGATTTTGCTTTTCTTTAATTCCAAGCTTAATTATCAGTTTTCCTTTACATAACTTTTGGTGTAGATGTTCACACTCTGGAATAAATGTTTCTTTCTATTAATAATTTTTAACATGTTTATGTCTATTTTATTTTTAGATATGCTTGTTTAAAAAAGACTATCTGATTAAATTTGTCCTGAAAGAAGTTCCTTTAATTTATCTACAGGAGGACTGACTGACTGCATCTTTGGCTAACAAAAAATGTGTCAGTCACATAATAAAACGCCAGAAACTGGGTAGCTTTTAAGTAACACAAATTTATCACTTACAGTTCTGGAGGCTGAAAAGTTCAAGATCAAGGCACCAGCATGGTCATGTTTGGTGAGAGCCCTCTTCCTGGTTCATAGCTGGCAACTTCTCACTGTGTCCTCACGTAGTGGAAAGGACAAGGAACCTCTCTGAAGCATCTTTTTATAAGACACTAATCCTATTCATGAGGATTCTGTCCTCATGACTTAAGCACCTCCCAAAGGTGCCACTTTCTCATGTCATCATCTTTGGTGGGATAGGATTTCAACATACGAAATTGAGGGGTACAAATTCAGACCATAGCAGTAGGTATATAGATGGAAAGACAACAGAAGAGCCGAAAGTATCGATATTGCCATTCAAATATATTACTTATGCTACTGTCCTTACATATACAACAACTTCCTATTAAAAAAAAAAAAAGAATCCCAGTTCTCTACTCTGGAATTTAAATTTTGTTACAGTATGAAATTATTGTCAGGAATTATGTATGTGGTTTTAATGCTTTGAATATTTAGGAGGACTAAAATACACTTTACAACTCAATTTAACTCTAGAAAAAAAATTAAAAATCAGAGCTATTCTTAAAACAAGAAAAAAATTCTTTTTTTCCAACCAAATACATGAGGTAAAAAGATGGACAACACAGAAAGTCTGTCTTTAGATTCAGATTACTGAGACATTCAAAAGTGTAATTTATCAAAGTGAAAAATAATGCTCCTTTTTCCTTTAACTATGAAAATATCAAGCTAGCCCTAAGAATAAAAATCACATATACAAAAATAGTTCTCTTATATGACTAATACTGCTTGAAGACTTTTAGTCTTAAAGTGACAGAACAATCAGGCAGTATCTTAATCAATAAGCAAGTAAAATAATATATGATGTTTAGAAAACTGTAATTCCCCTGTTGCTTCAGATCCTAGGAAGCATATCATGGTAATCCCACATGGTTTTTTAAAGGCAAAAGAAACAACAAATAGCCCCTTACCTTGTAAGATGGCAAGAAACACAAAATTCCTTGGCTCACAGTCTGGCACACAGATAACAAAAGTGCTCCCACTTCATCCTGAAACTCAAATGTTTCCGTGTGCTGGAAGGTAGCACAGAGATTGCGACCCTTGGGGCCTGACCCAATAGTGCCAACCCAAACCTGGAACATAAGTATGTCAGTACTAGAGTTATGCCAAAACTAGGCAGGCAAATTAGCATTTAGTTGGGAAACTTAATTACACGTATGCCAAAAGAAGATCAAGCAATGAGTTTAGAGAAAATTTATTTTTAAGTTGTTGGGGTTTTTTCCTATTACCTTTAATTAATTATGTATAGATTTGATTTATAGACATTTTACTTCATTAATTATGTATAGATTTGATTTAAGACACTGAACTGTCTTACGATGAAAGAAAAACAGGTTTTACTTACCAACAGTTATCAATAGCTTTGCAAAATTAACATGTAACCAAATTTTGTTGGATGATGAAAAAACGTGAAAAAATAAAATGAAAAAAATCAGAAATGAGTCAAAAATAATAGAGGTGAGGGGTGAAATGATCTGCTACAGGTAAATCCCTAAGACTCAGCTACGACAGGAACTAGTGTTTCACAAACTCACTGATGCTCAAAGATCTACAGCCACTGAAAATGAGACCCACCAGTTTCACAGTTTTATGCAATTCCTCTGCATTCACATAGATCTACCCTTAGTATAGTCAATTTGACTAACAGAAAGTACAAAATTTATTAGTATTCTGAAGATAGCACAAACTTCAGATTGTTGAGAAACGTATTAGTCCTATATTTTGAAATAATGTATGAGACTGAGGTACATTTTGCACCATGACATCTAGTGAACACCAGTTTAATCAACTTTAAACCAAATGATCAACTAGTAAGTAGTAAGACAAACTGATATTATGTGTTTCTTGATATGTACTGATTTTAAATTGCTTGAGTATGATGATATTGTGGTTATGCAGAATTATATACTTGTTCAGAGGAGAAACATGCTAAATGAATTAAAGGCAAAGTGTCATATCAACAAATTACTTTCTAATAGCTTATTCAAAATAATGTAATCATTAACATTTTACAATATTGCTCTTCTCTCCTATATATATATATGCAAAATGTTAACAATTGATGAATCTAGGTGAAAAGTATAAAGATATTCACTGTATTAATACCATTTTGCCACTTTTCTCAAGTTACTATTTTCTTAAATAAAAAGTTCAGGGAATCAACAAATGTGTGGAAAACAAAATGTGCTACACACACACGCGAGCACGCAAGCATACAGTGGAATATTATTCAGCCTTAAAAAGGAATGAAATTCTGATTCATGTTACAAAATGGAGGAACCTTGAATACACCATGCTAAATGAGATAAACTAATCACAAAATACCTTGTGATTCCACTTATCTGAGGCATTTAGAGTAGTCAAATTCATAAAGATAGAAAGCAGAAATGGTGGCTACCAGAGGCTGGGAGGGAAGAGGAATGGAGAATTACATAGTTATAGAATTTCAGTTTCACCAGTTGAAAAAGTTCTAGAGATTGGTCATACAACAATTTGAATATACTTAATAAAACAGAACTATATACTTAAAAATGATGGTAAAATTTTATGATATGTCTATTTTACCACAAATAAAATACATAAAATAAAAATTTTAAATATTGGGGAAAATACTAAAACAGAATCCAGCTGAACATTTATTATTATTATTATTAATTTAGTGACATTACAGTTTAAATGAATTTTTGTGCACTGGACTGAGCACATAGTACCTATACAATATTCTTCTGAGAACATATATGCTGAATTTATTAATAACTTCTCAGATTTATTTGAGCCTCTAAAAAAAACAACCTGAAAATGTGGAACACATATTTTTCCTTTTAAACAGGAGCACTCCGGCCTTTTGGAAGGCATAATTCTCATTTACAGGAGTTTAGCATTCAAGGTCCTCACGTACTAAATGCCAGTAGTTCCCACAAATACTCCTTGGTTGAAAACTATAGCTTTATAAAGAACTAGAACTGTATTAGCCACACAGGAAGTATTAAGCGTGTAGCCAACCACTTAAAAAAAAGAAACAGAAGGCAGATTGATAAATGACAATTCAAATGTTCCTAGGAAAACTGAAGTAACATTTATATGGCATTGTTATAAAAAATTAAAGTCTTAAGTCATAGAGTCATAAGAATACTTCTAATTCATTTCAGATATTCAAACATGTGCTGAATACTTGTTAACTTATAACAGGTATTAGTTTAGGTGCAGTGGAAGGATAAGGGTATAAAGAATAAGAAAATACCATAGTCTAACAGAAAAGAGAAACATAAACAAATAATTATACAATTAGGAATTATGGTTAAAAAAAGTTGAATTTTTGTTTTCTTTTTCATTTTTATTAAAAAATTTAAAACTGATTTAAATGAGGAAAGTGCAATACAGTCTTTACATCCAAAGTGCACATTTTTACTCATTGGGTTGAAGCAATGTTATTTATTGGTATTTCCTTTTGTTAACACTATCAAATAGCTGACAAATTTTCTTTTATTCTAAAACTGAAATGTTGGATTTCCTATCAGGATCTGTTTGCTAATACTTCAGGCACCTTTTGATTTGTTTATAGACAATTATATTGAGGTAAAGACTAGGAGCCTTCAAAACAAAACTAACCTGTGAGTTATTAATGACATGATTAGCCTCCAGTTGGATAGTAAATGTAACGCCAAGTTCCGATGAAAAAGATTTCATTGGTGATAATGTCCCTGATGTCAAAACAATCGTCCAAACCTTGCCATTAATATCTGAAAAGGCCTAAAAGAAAACAATATTAGATACATAAAATCATCTTTAAAAGAGTCAAACACATTAATTTAATCGCTGGTATTGAGCAAGAAGAGTTTTCTTTTACTGCCTGATAAGCTTACCACAGCTGGATTTAAGCACCAAAAATTTAGCACATGAACTGCTATTTTCTGTCGTAAACGTTTCTTATTTTTTGGTAGAACAAGGAACCCATTTTTATCTGAAGTATCAGTCTGATTTATCCAAGAGTAAGTCTGTTGAATAGCGACTTTATAATCATCTGCAAATCTAAATGAAAATAAAATGGTAATTAAATGACAAAACTTTAGATAACAATGTCTCCACCAACAATCACCACCAATAATTAAATTTAGTAATTCTGATAGAAAATAAGTCATTAAACCTTAGAGTCAATCCCTTCGTACAAGATTAGACACCATCTAAACATCCACACTTTATCACTTACCATCCCTGTGTTCAAAGATTACATAAATCATGTCAGAGCCAGAATCAAAATCCAGGCCTCCTAAAGCCCAGTCCAGAGCTCTTTGCACTCTATGTTAGTTACATCGTTAGTTACAAAGTAGGTAGCAATATTATTGTTAAAGAAACTAAAAAGTGGGTTAAACTTTCTTTTTGCATGAGAAAACAGAAAGACAATTTTTACTGTAAGTTTCAGAAACTAACAAAATTTTCAAGTTCCTTTAAAATCTGGATCTCCGTCTTCATCTATTTTTAATAAAAGTACTAAACCAGATGATCTCTGTGATCCCATCCAGCTTATAATTTCTTTCAGTAAGAGGCTATAAACACCTAAGCTTAAACAGAAAAAAATATGGTATTCTCTATCATGTCCTCACAATAATATTGACTGTTATCTTCACCCTTAGAGAGATCAAAACTCAAAGTTCAAGTCAAGAACCCTGCAATATGTGGAGAGAATTTTATAAAAATACTGGGGGCTAAAAACTATAAAACTCTTGAAAGAAAACATAGGGGAGAATCTCCAAGACATCATATTTGGCCATGTTTATTGGATAACAAAAGCATATGCAGCAAAAGAAAAAAAATCAATAAACTGGACTTCACCAAAATTAAAAATCTTTTGTGCATCAAAGAACACTATCAAGAGTGAAAAGACAACCCAAAGAATGGGAGAAAATATTTCTAAAGTGTATATCCGACATAGGATTAATCAGCAGAATAACCCCTGCAATTCAACAACGGTAACAAAAAGCCCCAACTCAAAAATGAACAAAGGACTTGAGTAGACATGTCTCCAATGAAAATATACAAACAGACATAAGCACATGAAAGGGTATTTAACATCTCTAGCCATTAGGGAAATACAAATCAAAACCATAAGGAGATACCACTTTATACCCATTAGGATGGCTATCATCCAAAAAACAGAAAATAATAAATATTGGCAAGGATGTAGAGAAACTGGAAATCTTGTGCTTAACTATGTGAATGTAAAATGTGCAGTTGTTTTGGAAAATAGTACACTGTTTACTCAAAAAGTCAAACATAGAATTATACCATGATCCTGCAATCCCACTGCTAGGTATGCACCCAGAAGAACTGAAAGCAGGGACTCAGATACTTGTATATCAATGTTTACTGCAGCATGATTCACAGTAGACAAAAGGTGGAAACAATCCATATGTCCATTAATACAAGAACAGATAAACAAAATGTGGTATATACATACAATGGAATATTATTTGACTAGAAAAAGGAATGACATTCTGGTAGGTTACAACATGGATTATCCCTGAAAACATTATATTATATGATTCTACTTACATGAGAAACCCAAAAAGGGCAAATCCACAGATCAAAAGTAGGAAAGAGGTTACCAGAGGTTGTGGTTAAGCGGGAAATGGGAAATATTATTTCATGGAGTTCCTGTTTGGGATGACAGAAAATTCTGGAAATGGACAGTGGTGATGGCTACACAAAAATGCAGATATACTTAATGCCACTAAAATGCACATTTAAAAAATGTTAAATTTTATGTTATGTATATTTTATCATTAAAAAAAACCTCTTAAAAAAAAACTGGAACCAGGTAGTTCTATAACTTAAGGAGTAGTGTATGGGGAGTTGACTGCTTTTCATTTTCCATATTTATATTAGAGGTTTTATGCAATAAGAAGAGGGTGGGAAGGGATAAACTGGGAGTTCTGGATTTACAGATACTAACAGATATACATAAAACAGATAAATAACAAGTTTACACTGTAGAGCACAGGGAACCATATTCAATATTTGGTAGTAACCTATGGTGAAAAAGAATATGAAAACAAATATATGTATGTTCCTATATGACTGAAGTATGGTGCTATACACTAGAAATTGACACAACATTGTAAACTGACTATACTTCAATAAAAATATATTAAAGAAAGAAAGAGACTTTCTGATACTGGAAGAAACATACCTAAATTATACTTAAAACTTAAATTTAGTCATAGAAGCCTATAAACTTAATGCTGAATTAATTAAATATCTTTATTTACTGATAACTAATATTAATTGTCTAAATCTGTACCAGTAATTTAGCTCCCAATAAGGCTAATATTTTTAAGAGGAAAAATACAGATCAGATATCTTCACTTACCTGCTATTTTGCCTAAAAAGATAGTCAAGTACCATAAAAAGTCCTTTGAGCATTATTTGAGTTGAAGCACTAATAATAGGTACTTCTCTTGCCTCCTCTTTACCATGAATTGATGACACTTTTTCTTCTCTCTGAAGGATAGCAGAAAAATGTCCCTACAACAAATTACCATATTAAGTTACCGGGGAGTAGGGGAAGGGTGAAAAACAAACTTCTCACAACTATAATAAAACCCAAATGAAATACTCATTGAAATTTTAGGCAAACATTATTAATACACAGTGCTAATAGTATGTTTTGAATTCCCACATATTCCCAAATCCTCTTCAGAGTCAAAGACATTTTAATAATAAGTTACACATTTAGGAGGTTGATTACTTCTTCAGGTAATTAGGGTTTTATTCAATGCCCTTCAAAAGTAATGAACTAAATAAAAATGTACCAAATGGTTTTTAAGGAGCATAAAAGACCTGCTATGCTACCCAAATGCCTGAATTATTATATAGTTATAAGTCATAATTACAACATTACCTGATGTCACCATGAACAATGATAATATATATACATGATGATATGCACACTGAATATTAATATAATTATGCTGAGAGAATGGAGAGTGGAGAAAGGGAAATCAAGTAATCAGGACAGTGTGGTACTGATGAAGGAACAGATGAAACATATCAATGGAAAAAAACAGAGCCTAGAAATGGACCCACACAAATATAATCACTGATCTTTGGACAAAGGAGCAAAGATAATCCAATGGAGAAAGGATGGTCTTTTCAACAAATGGTGATAGAGTAACTGGACAACTACATGCAAAGAAATCAATCTAGACATAAACCTTGCACCCTTCACAAAAGTTAACTCAAAATGGACAGCAGGCCAAAATGTAAAATGCAAAGCTACAAAATTCCTAGCAGAAAAGATAGGAGAAAATCTAGGTGACTTTGGGTTTGGTGATGAGTTTTTAGATGCAACACCAAAAGCATGATCCATCAAACAAAAAAATTTGACATGCATTAAAACTAAAAACTTATGCTCTGTGAAAGACTCTGTTAAAGGGATGAAAAAACAAGCCAGAGGCTGGGAGATTATATTTGCAAATACTTCTCTGATGAAGGTCTTGTACACAAAATATATAAAGAACTCTTAAAACTCAACAACAAGCAAGCAACTCAATTAAAAAGTAGACAAAATATCTGAAGAGATAACCTCACCAAATAAAACACATAGATGGAAAATAAACATGTGAAAAGATGCTCTATACTATGTGTCATTAGGGGACTGTAAATTAAAATAACAATGAGATACTACCATGTATCTACTAGAATGGCTAACATGCAAAACATTGATAACACCAAATGCTGACAAGGATGTGGAACAACAAGAACTCTTATTCACTGCTGGTGGGAGTGTAAAATGGTACAGCCACTTTGGAAGACAGTTTAGCAGTTTCTTGTGAAGCTAAGCATAGTCTTACCTTATAGCCCAAGAATCGTGTTCCTAAGTATCTACCCAAATAAGAAAGCATGTCCATACAAAAACATGCATATAAATGTTTATAGCAGCTTTATTCCTAATTGCCCAAACTTTGAAACCACCAGTGTGTCCTTCAGTAGGTAAATGGATAAACAAACTGTGGTATATACGTGCAATTAATATAGTTCAGAAATAAAAAGAAACGAGCCATCAAGCCACAAAAGGACATGGAAGAACCTTAAATGTATAGTGCTAAGTGAAAGAAGCCAGCTTGAAAAGACCTCAAAACTATATGATCACAACTGTATGACATTCTAGAAGAGGCAACACTATGGAGTCAGGAAAAAAAGAATCACTGGCTGCCAAAGGTTCAGCAGAGGAAATAAAGTGTGTTGAAGAGATGAACAACTGTAGCACAGAAGATTTTTAAGGCAATGAAAGCAATTCCACATGATACTATAATGGTAGATACATGACTTTATGTTTTTATCCAAACTCATAGAACTGTACAACACAAAAAGTGAACGCTAACGTAAACTATGGACTTTAGTTAAAAATAACGTAACTATTGGTTCAATTGTAATAAATGTACTACTATTGCAAGATGTTAACAATAGGAGAATCTGTAGTATCTCTGTGTGTGGGGGGGGCTGGGAGTGGTGGTATATGAGAACTCTGTCCTTTTTGCTCAATTTTTCTGTAAACCTAAAAAAAACTTTAAAAAGTAAAGTCAATTACTATAAATAAGAACAGAAAGAGAAAAGAAAAACATTCTTTTTTTTT